AATTTTAGAGACCTTTTTCTTGACAATCTGCACCTCTTCTGCTGATACCAGGCATTTCTTGGCAATATCATCTACCTTTTCAGCTGTTTCTGTCATCTTTTTCTGCTGTAGTCCATATGCATTTTCCATGGAGTCAAGTTTAAGATTTATTTTTTGCAGTTCGGCCAGCAGATGGCGAGCAAGTTCACTATCTGTTTGATTGACAGCAGTTCCAGCAGTGGAGGGGCTAGGACAGGAAGTCCCGCCTGCCTTTTTCAAAGGCTTTTCTATTGCTTTTCTAGTCCCCGCCATTTTACAAGATTGTTTATACTTGGAAAGTTATTTTTTTCGTCCGTTTATGCTTCCCCCCCGTTTTTTTCGTTTTAAAAGAGTCTTTTGTGAGTGAACGGGGGTGGGGGGGGTAGAGCCCTCCCCTCCCCCTTCTCCTCCAGCCGCTTCTCTAATGGGGGGGGGGGAAGCTTGCCGCTTTAGTTTCCGGACGTCCACTTACGATTTCGCATATCTTCGTTCTCAAAAGAGCTTTGCCGCATCACCACTCCGCTCCACCGGTGGCATTGCTAAACCCCTCATAGGGTCAAGTCACAGCCGGGGCCGTTTGGGGTAAATGGGAGAGCCTCAATTCCCGACCATCTGATCGGCAAGAGGCTTCTCCCTAGCGCACCCCCTGGTTCGGAGCCCTCCCCTGAGGGCTCCTTAGGATCTCCGCTGCCGCGGAACCCCCCCGCACTGTGCTTGGGCGATCCGGCTCTGGGAGACGTCCCAAGAGCCGGTCGCCATTCGCGCCGCCGAAACCGGAAGTCGCTTCTCTTATGTTCTTATGTAGGGCTTTTTGCACAGGAAACCAGGCGGCACTGTAACCGTATGTTTCAGAAAGACGCGTGGGGTAAAGGGTTAGGGTGTCAGCTAGACTTTTCTCAAGCCCTGGCTGCCAGGGGAGTGGGGGTGACTCTGGAATGTCAAGTTTAAATTCTCCCATGTCTCCTATGGTTCTGTTATCTCTGCATGACCTTCAACATTTGGTGTAGCGTTTCTCCTGGGGAGAATAGCCCTGTTACTTTGGCAGGCTTCTACCTGAACCCTGATTGGCCCTGGGGTCTCTTTGAATAATGTGTAACTGTTTGCTGTGTGGACTTTATTTTAGTTCTAACACGAAATGGTTAAGATACCTGCATACTCTCAAAGTCTCAATAAACTTATCTGAACGAAAGCTGTTGGGAACTGATTGCTGCAGGAGTCTGACATAGGGACTGTACACTACACCACTGTTTGTGCTATCTCTTGCTGTAAACAGGTTCCTGCTATGACATGCCATGTTTTAATACATATATTGTGCTTTATCTCTGGTCGGTTTCCAGATTTCTACAAGTCAAATGCTACCACACTGTCTATTGGATGTTCCATTTTGTTGACTGTACTGATTTATTCTGTGCGATCAGCCTAGGTAGACTATAATGTTTCCCCCTTAATACTCTTTTATTTATATAACATAATAACAATTTACAGTAGCACATAGTAGTAAGAAACCACAACAATAACAACATAATTACAAACACAAAAGACACAAGAGCAATAAAACCAACCAGCTATTCAATATACAGCTATAACCAGATTATGAGGAAATGCCTTTTGAGCTTACTTTGTCTTTCCATATAGTCAAGAAAAGGGAACCAAGGTTCCAAATAATCTGAATGAAAGTCTGGATTCTCCACAAAGGAGACAGCATCTGCTGTTTTGTCCATGACCAAGTATTCCCGCGCCTTAAAGGTAAAGGTTTCCCTTGCTCGAAAGCCAGTTGAATCCGACTCTAGGGTGCGGTGCTCATCTCCGTTTCCAAGCCGAAGAGCCAGCGCTGTCCAAAGACATTTCCATGGTCATGTGGCCAGCATGATTAGACGCTGAGGCACACAGAACGCTGTTACCTTCCCACCGAAGCGGTCCCTATTTATCTACTTGCAATTTCTTGCTTTCAAATGGCTAGGTTGGCAGAAGCTGGGGCCAGAGACGGGTGCTCACTCCATCATGTGGCACTACGGTCTCGAACTACCGACCTTCCGGCCTGCAGTTCAGTGTCTTAACCACTTAACTTACTGAACCACATACTCAGTGAGGATTGTATACTACTTTTCCAATGCCTAGCCACTGACGCCTTGGCTGCCACCAACATATAAGAAATGGGACCTTTCCTGACAGCAGGTGGACTATGAATAACGTAACCAAATGAAATGACTAAGTCCTTGGAAGCCTGCCTGGAAGACGTCGCCGGGGCTCACCTGGGGCAGCTGTTCAGGCAGCCAGTCAGAGACGGGCTGCCCACCGGCTGCATGGATGAGGTCAGCACCGTCGATCAGAACCGCCAGAGTCTGCCGATGCTTCAGCGACTGGCCCACAGAATGGAGGAGGGAGTTGAACTGGACCACCAGCCCCCTGCAAGAAACACCAGCCGTCTTTTGGCAAGAGGACAGTGTGCTTCCCCAGTCAGGGGCACAACATGCAAACTCACCAAGGGGGACCCCCTCCCCCCCAGAAATAAGACTCCTATTTTGTATTCTTAGATGCTTCAGATGTGTTCTCAGTGCAATTAAAGCACCCGCGCTGCATCGAATGCAAAGGTTACCTCCTCGTCTCCCGGACTGAACTCTAGAAAACAAAAAACGGAGACTACACGTTTCCAGCTTGACCCCGTTTGAACCGGGGGGAAACCAGCAGCACAGGGCAGCTGTGGGTAAGGCCTGTGATGTCACACATACAGCTGGGACAATTTTGCACTTGTTTATAAAGGGGGTAGGCGGGGACAAAGCGAAGGGCGGGGACAAAGCGAATCAACCTGAACGCACATGCTGCTGAAGAAAAGCTAGACAGCCCACCTAAACTTACTAATGGCTGACCAGCATTTAACTAGCCAGAACACCCATTTCTAAGCAGGTGTCAGCTCCACCTCAAGGGTGAACAGTGCAATGAACTGAATTAGCTGTTGCTGTTGCTTTTTAAAGCACGGCACTTACCTTTACCCTGTGAGAAAACAACCATTTCCCACTGTCCCCCTTTCTCTGCTGTGCGTGGAAGAATCTGCTCTCTCCCCCTGACTCCATCTGGAGGTATTTTCCACCCCCATCCCCCCTGGATCCCAGCTCACAAACACCTCTCTGTATCTACGGCCATGCTGACCTGTAGCTTGTGGGCGGGGCCGGGGGCTGCTTCACCAGCTTCCTCAGCAGGGCACAGAGCTGTCCTAACACGACCTGGACGTTGGCCTGATCGGGCTGGGCCCGCGTGAAGTGAGCCACAACGTGGTAAGCAGGAACGGGGTCTCCATGGCGCGGGGCCTTTGCTCGGAGCTCCTGGGCCAGGGCTGCCTGCGGGGGAGAGAAGGAAGAAGGGGCCCGGTTCCAACCCCCCCCCCCCCCCCCGTGGGCCCTCCTCGGGTGGCCACAGCCAGGCCACTGTGGTGCAACTCCCCATTTGTGACGGATGCCCCATTCAGGCAAACTGTTACCTCAGTAACACGCAGGAGGCAAGGGAAAAGAATAAGAGTATGGACTCCTCTTGCCCTCTTGGTTCAGATAAACATTAAAAGGAGCGAGGCAAATTCTTCTCCAGACAATATGGATTTTGTCTCACAGGGAAACAGCAAGGATTCTGGGGTATCATTATATGATTTCATTTCATACATTGTTATCCAAGGGAGGTAGGGGAAGAGGGGGTGATTGGTATACAGACTCCTCCTCCTTCATTCTGCTCACACTTGTTCTTAAAAGGCTCTGGAAAGTACTCATGGAGCCCTTTGGAAATACTCAGCATGGCTTTCCTCTGTTCATGCGAAAAAATCCCACCGGGATGGCCTCACCAGGTTGTCTGGGAGGCCTGCTGGTTTTTGAGTTGAAGAAGAAGCTGTCTTTTTATACCATGCTTTTCTCTACCCTAAGGATTCTCAAAGCAGCTTACAATCAACTTCCCTTCCTTTCCCCACAACGTTCACCTGGTGAGGTGGGGTGGGGCTGAGAGAGTCCTGAGAGGACTGGGACTGGCCCAAGGTCACCCAGCAGGTTTCATGTGGAGGAGTGTGGAATCAAACCTGGTTCTCCAGATCAGGGTCTGCTACTCTTAACCACTATACCACACCAAGAACCCAACATTCCTCCCATAAATCACCTCAGTCATCCTTATAACAACCATGTAAAAGTTAGGTCAATATATCTGCAGGTGCAGAGGCCATAAAGCATTACAGGAGAGGAATACTCTCCCCCACCCCATCTCCCTCTCCAGAAACCTGTTAGCATTTAGGGAAGAAATCAAGCAGGCTAGTTTTCCAATCCCCTTTATTTCTCTCTCTCTTTAACTAACTCTTGACGTTACAAGGGCAAGGCATACACTCAGTCCCTATCAAGACTTGGGGGAGAGGGACTTTTAAAAACGTTTACAAACTATGTATTCTACTGTACCTGTAAGTTATCTCCCAAGAATGTAAAAAACCCAACATATTCTGTGGAAGCCCTAACCCCCCTTCCTCTGTCTTCATGATCGGTACACAATCCTGTTGTTTTCTGTTTAAAGGAACAAGCTGGAAATCCACAGGAAATACGGAGGTGAGGGGGATAAACCACTTAGAAATTCCCTGCACGGACACTCAAATCTACCCCTCCAGTACACTATGAGAGGCCCCAGCAGGCCGATTTCCCCATCTCCCTTCCCCATACCAATGCCCCTGGGAGCATGCCGATGCACCTCTGTGAGCAGACTCAGTCCTTGTCAGGCAGATTTTTTAAACAATGTTGCTAGCAGCAATGAGATTCGAACTGGGGCCATCCCACCTCAGGTGCTTAGCCATTACACTAAAGCAGCTCTCAAAAAAGCCTGCAATTAATGTGCCAGAACGGATCGGGATGACATTGCTAGTAAAAGGACTGCGCTCCCATGATACGGCTCCTGCACTGTTTCGCTCTCTCCTATTTCTCAGCCGGGACCCTTGTGCTCACCAAGAAGACGGTCTTGCCTTGTCCGCATTCGCCACTCACAACACAGATGCTGCCTCCACACAGCTGGGCAGCCGTGGCACGGAGAAGCTTTGACCGGGCACAGAATCTCTTCTGCTGCAACTCCTGGAAAGACTCCTGCAAGATACTTTCTTCTGGCTCCTCCGACTCACCGTCGACCTTGGAACTGTCTCCCTGGGCACACAGAGATGGAGATGGGACAGACATTATATATATATAACACCACACAGTGGTAAGGGAATGCAAAACAGAATCTCTGTTGACAACTTCAACTGTTGGAAAAGAAAATGAAATGCCTAGGAGTAACAAATGATATGATTAAGAAAGAATACAGAAACTAAAGACACTATAAGACAAATTTAAAAATGTGTAAGGAAGTTGGATGTTACAAGTATACCTATTAGGCCACACAGGGTTTATTCGACACTCCATTTGGGAATTGCACTCCCGATGCAACTGCCAAAATATTTTTATCAACTGACAGTCCCAAAATTAAGAAGAGCTTTTACTTTGGCAAGACTGAATGTTCTTCCATCGGTGGTTTTGGAGGGCAGATATAATAGAGTATCATACTCTAATAGAACATGCAGATGCTCATATGATACCATCAAATGTATGATTACGGAGTGCCCTATATTCGATGAGTTGAGGGCTAATTTAGTCACCCCTTTACTTAAAGATATGGAATTGCTAAAGTTGAGAGCCCAGATGTCATGGATGTTATCAAATACAAATGATCGTGTCACCCTCTCAGTGGCAAAATTCATAGCCACAATAATCAAATATAAGAAAAATAATACTGAGTAAGGTCTTTTAAAAAAATTGTTCTAATTTCTGCTTAAGGTGATAGCCATATGAGCAGAGACAGACAGACAGACAGACAACTTCAGCATGTGTCATACTTAGGCAGAAGCTCTCGAACTATCCTGCTTGCAAAGGTCCAAAACAGCATTCCAAATTCAGCCCCAAAACTAACTAGAAGTCTGTGCTGCTGTTTTAAAATCAATGCACCCAGCACTTACCTGTATAAAGTGGTGAAAGAGGCTTTCCCACAAATCCCGCAAGATTTTGGCACCAAATTCCTCAAGACCTTTGACATAGGGCCGGCCCTGGGCTACTCCACCCCACTGACATGCGTACCTACGAAGGGAGAGGGAACAGCACAGATGTTGCTGGCTAGAGGGAAGAAAGGAAGTTCCCTCACTGCAGCCGCTGACTTCTCTTCCCCTTTACCTGCCAACCGAGGCCAGAGCCTCGTGCTTTTCAAGACGCTCCTTCAGATCCACCATCCGGTCCTTAGCCTCTTCTGACTCAGCTGCAAAGTCTGCCCTCCACGCTTCAGGTACCGACCTGCCAAGAGAGAAATGGGAGCAAAAGGGTCAAAGTTGGTGATTCTTAATAGGGGTGACCTACAAATTTGGATACTGTATTATTATACTGTATTTTTATATTGTTGTGTAAGCCGTCCTGAGCCGGCCTTGCTGGGAGGGCGGGGTATAAATCTAATAAATAAATATAAATAAATAACCAACTTCCAAGATCTGGACCATCCAGGTCATCCAGATCAGCACACCCTTGTGTTAGGGGGCAGGTGAATAATTGACGAGGATCTACATTGTAGGGCAGGGAGAGTATGTGAAGATAAACATGCTACCCAAGGAAGTCTGGTTCTCGGAGATAGAAGAAGGCCCTGGACTTGGCTGATGGATCCTTGTAACCGTTCAGGAACTGAACAGCCTCCAGCTCTGTGATGGAGCGGCCTGCCGGGTATGACTTCAGCTGCGGAGACAACCCAAATCCATTCATTTAGACACCTCTAAACAGCCTCCTGAGGCAGCGGTTCTGTGAGAGCAGTTCTAGGTTTAGTTCTGCTAACCGTGCCTGTCCCTTTATCAACTTCAGTCCCTGTTGGAATCTTGACTGAAAACTCCATGGGGGAGGGACTGTTTTTGGTTTTCTCATTCTGTAAAAACCCGTTATGTCCATCTGTGGAGTAATCTAACCAGGGGTCATTTCGTAGAAAAAGAGGTGCAGGAGCTCATTAGCATAACTCATCAGCATAACTTATTTGCATATGCCACACCCCCTGACATCACTGTTAGTGTGTCAGAAGGCAACACCCACTGCTCAGGCTCCACTGGACTGTATTGGATTGCTAGCTATTTGGGGGGGGGGAACGTGCAGATCTGTCCTTGCAGAGGAGGGAGAGCTTGTACCTGAATAAAACTTTGTCTTAAAGGTGCCACTGGACTCTTTTGGACCAGGGGGCGGGGAGGGCTCTGCAACTTACCTGGCTGCTTCTTACACTGACTGAGGGCTGCTGGGAGTAGGGGGTGGGGCTTGTTGCATATGCCCGCCCCCTGGGCTCTTTACTGCCGGAGCTCTGCTCCTGTGCGCTCCTGCAGGAAATGACCCCTGAATCTAACAAACTGAGTTCCTCCAGACAGGAAAAGCATTTTACACACCTAACAGTGCTCTCCTATAACTAGCAGCCCATCAACTAAGAAAACTCACTACAGGGAAACAGGCAAAACACAGAGAGAGACGTTCCTCCTATCACAAAACACATTTCATATAATTCTCCATTTTGATTCATGCCTAAAAACAGGAAGCCCCTTATATACGTGGGTCTCCAGACTACCCCCTTTTGAGCTTCTGCTTGGCACTCCTGAATTCCAATACCATGGAGTTCTCCTGAAACTGGCTGCCGAGCAGGGTCAAAAGTGCCTCTCACTTACCCACTCATAGTGAGGCTCATCCGGTAATGAATACTCTCTAGGGATGTGGCCGTACCGCTCACCAAGGATCCCAATGAACAGGTGACTTCGTGCAACTTCTGACAAACAGAGTTCCAGCTGCCTAGAAAGATGACAATCATTACTGAAAATACGCCACCTCTTGCCGTCCCACTCATGTCCTGGAGACATTTTCTGGAGGCTGAGCCACACAAATAAAAATCAGGCCAATCGCCACGACAACACTCTCAGAATCCTTCACTTCTGCCTCTCAGTATTTAGCTGTATATGACAGTAGGTCTCTGCATTTCTTTATTACTTAATAGCCTAGTTACCCTTTCTTAATATCCATTTAAAAAGGGTAACTAGGCCATTAAGTAATAAAGAAGTAAAAAATTCCATTAGAGATTAGGAGTATAAAAAAACTGGATAGCAATTGTTCTGAATATGCCATCTGGCATTAAACTGTGTGGTCTTGGGGACATGAACTGAATAATACCAGCAGATCTCAGGAGGGCAGGAGTGTCCTCCAAATGTGAGTTTATTGTTTATATTTCAAACTGTTATCTGCCTTAGTGGCCCGTGTGAGGGCAGAAAGGCAGGACATAAATTTTACACATAAATAATGTTACTTTCAACACACTGAAACAGGGGTTCTTTAAACCCGTTTAAAAGAACCAGCGTGAGTGAATAGACTCCAATTTGGAACCCTTGTGAGATACAGTCTGCCTCCTCGATACACGAACACATGCTGTGATGTTCCGCAGCCAGTTCTGCCTCGGCTGCTCAAGTCTCTTCCTTTACTCAGTCACACACACACACACATACTTGTTTGTCTGGGCCTCCTGTTCAGTGATCCCCCAGCGCAGGTCAATGTCCTCTATTGTCAGGCAGAATTGGGCTGCACGGGCTCGTAATTCAGGGAAGACGGAGCGGATAAGCAGGTCGCGTTCCCCGTGCATGTCCCGGAAGGTGGAAGAGACAAACACTTTTACCGAGCGCCACCTGAGGGAGAGGGTACGAGGGGAAAAGGTCAGAGCTGAGACACCCTGCCACAAATCAACCTACTGCCATCTTCTCGTCATCATCACCTGCTTTTGGGAGCGGATATCAAGGGTTCACCTCCTGCTTCCGGTTTTGCCATCACTGCCCTCCGTGGCTCCAGTAGGCCATGGATCTCGTCAATCTTCCCAACGTGCTCAAGGAACCGGGAACTGCCACATTCAGCCATGAACCTGCCAAACATGGAAGCTCTGGGTATTCCTCGCTAACTGAAACGGGTTCTTATTGCTTCTTCTGGTGAACTCCAATTCTACAAAGCTTGATCCTAGCAACCACCAAGTGCCATCAGTGCTCACTAAAAGAAACTGAGCCGTCAGTGGCCATTGAGGAAAGAATTTGTTGGCAATTATCCTCATATTTGATAACTATGTGACAAGCGGGTTTGCTTGCTTTTATGCCGTTCTATCACTTGGCCCAGAACTCACCTGAGGACATGATCGTTGAATCCACGCATCAGTACCTCCATAGTGGAATCAAAAGGCCTTGGCACTCTGAAATCAGAAGGGTGGGGGAGAACATTGGTGGGAATTCAGTAAAGATATCGGGCATTCTACCCACCCCCCTCTGTGTGGAAGCTTTATTTAGAATAATAATCAAGAATGCTCTAACCCCCGCAACCTGGCTATTTTTCCAAGCTAGAAAAAAATGGACTGCTTTTTCTACATACAGGAAACGGGAGCAGACGTTGATTATGAGGAAGTGGGGTCCCACATGACGGCGATAGAGACAGATGCATTTGTAATCGGATAGGCAGTCTTCATATGTGCTCAGGAAGAGAATCCTGTCCACCTGGAGATGTAAGGAAAACAAAGGGGGTCATAAGCCTCCGTTGGTGGCACTGCTCTGCTCAAACAAGCTTTAGTGTTCTTTAGCGTGAGACTCATCCTCGAGCGAGTCTACTCCTATGAGGCCTGCCTTGGTAACCTGCAAATATAGTACTCATCAACTGCCTTTGCTAAGCTAATGACCGTTCACAGCCGTAATCCCTGCCGGAGGCTCTCTGAGGCTACCATCATACACGGGTTATGAGGATCTGTCTACAGCACCGCCCACCAAAGAGCGCAGCTTTGTGCATACTCTGCACCAATCGATCCTATCCAGCTAAGAAACACCATTGCTGGACGGGACTCCCCACCCTGGCCACTATTCAGGTGGCAAAATGGGCTCGTCAGATACCTCCGGGAAGTTCAGAGATGGTGTGCGAAGGCAGAAATATTCCGCTTTTGTTGTCGGTCCCCACGCACAGTTAATCAGAGATAGGCAGCCTGAATACAAATGCAGGACGCTGCCTTATACTTAGTCAGACCATTAGTCCACCAAGGTCAGTATTGTCTACTGGCAGCAGCTCTGCAGGGTCTCTGGCAAAGGCCTTTCTTACCACCTTTTACCTGACACTTTTGAACCAGAGATGCCTGAGATTGGATCTGGGACCTTCTGCGTGCTAAGCAGATGCTCTACCCTTGGAGCCACGGCCCCTCACCAACCACAGTTGACCACAGACCTTGGGAAACAACCGCACCATGTCCACCCCCCTGCCCCGCCAATGGCCCAGCTCTGGTTCTGAACTTGCAATCATTCAAGTAAATTAGACTTCTCAGGAGAACACCCCCTCCCCTGGCAAGGGTGAGAGATGGCCTACACGTTCATTCGCTTACAGATCCACAAGTACAGTAACCTTAACAGCAGGACCTTCAGGGATTGGCTCATATGTATTTTTACCAGGTGCCCCGGACTCACTTGCTGGTGTCGAGAAGTGAGGTCCATGATGATATCACCAACCATGATTTTATTATGTCCATCGTTGTCATATCCAATCTCCTAGGGGCAGGAGGAACAGACAGGAAGTGAGCAGCCACTCAAGGAACTCATGTAGCAACAGGAAGCGTGCAAGGAGTTTTCATGCGGGGGGGCTGAAAGACCCTCGTGCACAGGCGAGTGCAAACAAGCTACAATGTCAGTGGACATAGACACACCCCAAGAACAAGGCTATTCCGCCTTGGTTCGCATCCTTGGGGCCAACTGATGTGATCAGCTGAACCAAGGGATGTAAGCTTCACCTGCAGCAGGTATAGATACATGCCCATTTGAATGTTCCCCGTACTAGAAGGCAAGAGAGGAAATGGGATTGGAAGTCTCTCCCAGACATGGGCTGATTCTGCATGGGCTTTTCCGTCTGTTGTTTTACAAAACTCAGGTTGGAACAAAAATACCCTCTGCATTGCATGCCGCTTTCACTTCCTTTGATCATCGGATCTTATGGTACCTTCTGCATAGATTTATGGCTGTTCAGGGGTTACTTTGTAGTCAGTACAGTGTTGCCCCGAGGTGTCTGAACGTGGTTTTGAGCTGCACTTTTTCCTCCCAGCTGTGAAAATGTGGAGCGAAGGCTAGATGCAGAATCACCCACAGAAAACCAGCATTTTAGAGAGAAAGTTTAACTAAACACCTCCCGCCCAAAGAGACACAGCTCAAGAAACCATGCCAACTTGCCAGGGGGAATACAAACTGCTGGGGAGAATGGGAGAGCAGGCCAATGGCATTTTAATAGTCATTTTAATAGTCTTTCACCTTCTCAGACCCAGTTTTTTGGGGAGGGGTATTGGTACACATGTCCCTCTTTCTCCTTGAAAAGTACTGAGAGCGGAGGCTCAGCATAGTGAAATCAGCAATACGTTTATTCGATTACATTCCCAAAACAAGCATTTCTAAAGCCGGCCAGATGCCGGCTTATATTTGTAACTTACACCACACCCATTTCCCGTGATTGGTTCTGTTTACAAGTCCACATAACAATTGGTCATGACTCGGATCCGGGCGATCTCATAGGTGTGCCCTAGGATCCTGAGGTACTATTGTTCTACTGACTGAAGGTTGGAGGTCCGTTGGACCGCATGGCCAGGCCCACGTGGCCGTGGCCATCTTAACTGCATCTTAATACACAACACTCCTCTCTCACATTGTATCTGCAGCCAGTGTTGTGTGGTGTCTAAACATCAGACTGGGGCCAGGTTCAAATCCCGACTCTTCCAAAACCTCATAGGGTCAGCATAGTTTTGCAGGCCAACCTGCTTTGTAAGGAGAGAATGGGAGAAGGGTGGGGGGGAAATGTACACTGTCCTGAAGACAAAACACACTGGCTGGACAGCCATTTCTCCCCCCTAAGGAGCCCTGGGATTTGTGATGGGGGGAGGAGGAACACCTGGGATTACTAACAGATTTCTTAGCATCTGCAACAAGGCAAGGCACAAGTGCCAGGAATCTTTTGTGTGGGGGGTGGGGGGGGGTGGGCAGCGATGAGAGGGCGGAACAAGTATGTAGTGCAAACATTCCATCCCTCCCTCTCACTCTCAGAGGAATGGGGTTCAGCTTCTAAACAGAAACCATTGTGAATCCAAAGGTACATCAAAGACCTTCCCTTGAACCCCAAACCTTGACTGGCTGATTTCAATCAAGGACTATACAAATGCATTTTGCACATGCTCACAGAAAGGCCCCTTTTTATGCACATTCTAGAACAAAGGGGGAAGTGACAGCCTTCAGTCCTCAAGTGTTCATTCATGTTACACCCGCTGACCCTTTCCCCACAAACTCTGGAGCAATGCCCCCTCTAAGCTGTGGAGTCTTGTGAGCACAAATTCTACTTTGTGAGCTACCGGAGTTAAAGTTGTGAGCAACCGATTTGGCTACTGCATAAATTAGTTTGCTCTGGATCCATCTTTCCTGAGATGAGGCACTATTAGATATATAGATGTTGACAAGCGCGAGCGTGTCCAGAAGAGGGCAACCAGGATGGTGAGAGGGTTAGAATCCAAGTCTCATGAGGAAAGGCTGAAAGAGTTGGGTATGTTTAGCCTGGGAAAGAGAAGGCTTAGAGGGGACACGATTGCAGTCTTCAAATATTTGAAGGGCTGTCATGTAGAAGATGGAGCGGATCTATTCTCTCTTGCTCTGTGGTATGTCAGTATGTAAGGCTATCTTTCGGCTATGCTCCTGCAGAGTGCAGGGGGTTGGACTAGATGACCTGCAAGGTCCCTTCCAACTCTAACATTCTATGATTCTATGAAAGGCCCTTTTTAATGCGGATTCTAGAACAAAGGGGGAAGTGACAGTCTTTAGTTCTCAAGGAGAGTGGAGACAAGTCTTCTTTCGTGTTGCACCCACTGACCCTTTCCACACAAACTCTGGAGGTGCTGCAATTTTACTTTACTTAATAACAAAAGGAAAACACACTTTGCTCATGCTCAGCAGCCCCCTCCTCCTCGTTATTATTATTTCCCACGTTTGAGAACCGAGCACTCGGGACAGCTACCAAGGGGAAAACTCAGATGAAAAGGGGCCCCCTTCCAATGTCTCACCTGAGTTTGCAGGTGATGCACATCCTTCAGCACAGCTCCCGTCATGGCGACAGGACCCCTGATGGTTGCCTGATCACAGAGGTGCAGCTGGGCCTGCTCAGAGGCAGAGTACACCATGGAGCCCAGCAAAAAGGCCACGTCCAGTTTCTAGAGAAGCAGAGAGAGCCAGTTTGGTGTAGTGGTTAGGAGAGCAGACTTTATTTCAGAGCTGTTCTCTCACAAGCAGTTCTTGAGAGAGCTCTCTCAACCCCACCTACCTGTTGTGGGGAAGGGAAAAGAGACTGTAAGCCACTCAGACTCCTTTGGATAGTGAAGGGTGGGGTACAAATCCAATCTCTCTTCAGAAACCTTTGTTCAAAAGACAAAGCTCTGGTCCCTTTGAGGAATGGGGAAGAAGTCACTCTAGACTCCTCCTGCATTTCCCAGGCTTAATTAGTTGGGGGGGAATCACTTTTGCCTGCTAGTGACAAAGTCACGTTACCCACCCATCTGCCACATCATCAAAGAAATCATAGTGCCAAGGCAGGAGGGAGTGGTTACGAAACATTACCAATTTTGCTACTATAGATGTGTTTTCTTGAAATTTTGAAAGGAGGATAAAAGCTCAATAAAATAATAGGAAAACAGTGGGAGACCAAGAGGAGGCCCATGGCTTTTTATGCACCGTCATGGGTTTGTTTTTGTCCTTCTGCTCAGCAGTCGGGCAGCAGAGACCCCGGGCCCGCATGTAAGGTTTCTTCATGTCTTCGCGGCAGGAGATCAGGATGAGGGTGCGGCCAGGGATGGGGGGCATGTTGTGCTGCACGGCAAAGCCAATGGCTGTTTCCAGAGCCTGACGATACCACTGCAGGATGACATGGCTGTAATTCCGTTTTCTGAAAAAGAAAGAGCGCTAAAAAGGCAAATGTGATTTTGAGCTCTATCAACAGAAGTATAGTGCGCAGATCACGCAAAGTGATGGTATCTCTCTCTGCTCTGGCTAGACCCCCCCTAGAGTATTGTGTTCAGTTTTGGATGCCCCAATTTAAGGAGGATATAGTCAAGCTGGAACATGTCCAGAGGAGGACAACGAAGATGGTGAGGGATCTGGAGACCAAGTCCCCTGAGGAAAGGCTGAAGGAGCTGGGTATCTTTAGCCTGGACAGGAGACGACTGAGAGGTGCTATGATAACCATCTTCAAGTACTTGAAGGGCTGTCATATAGAGGATTGTATGTTTTCTGTTGCCCCAGAAGGTCAGACCAGCACCGATGGGTCGAAATTAAATCAAAAGAGTTTTCAACTGAACATTAGGAAGAACTTCCTGTCAGTTACAGCAGTTCCTCAGAGATCTGGAGCACTTAGGGAGGCGGTGGGCTCTCCTTCTCTGGAGGTTTCTAAGCAGAGGCTAGATGGCCATCTGTCTGTCAGCAATGCAGATTCTGTGAACTCAGGCAGATCATGAGAGGGAGGGCAGGAAGGGTTGCATCAGTGCTTAGTTCTCCTGGCTCTTTCTTACACGCCCAGTGAATTGCTAATCACCACTTTGGGGTCAGGAAGCAATTTTTCTCCAGGCCGGTTTGGCCAGGGATCCTGGAGGTTTCTTGTAATCTTCTTGGCATGGAACAGGAGTCACTGGGTGTGTGTGGGGGAGGAGAAGTATTTGTGAATTTCCTGCATTGTGCAGGGGGTTGGACTAGATGACCCTGGAGGCCCCTTCCCACTCTATGGTTCTATGAAAGATTTCTAAAAACCCACCACTGACAGTCTGCTTTGGTTCATTTGCTGTGAAGCAGGGACCATGCTTCAATTATGCACAAGGCTCTTGTGAATAACGCATTATCAGCTTGTGGAATTTACCGCCCCAAGAAAGTGCCCATTGCAGATGGATTTTTGAGAAAATCAGATGAATCCACAGAAGGACGGCAATGCTAGCTAAAAGAAGCCTCCATGTTCAAAGGCAATATGAGTTCCACGTGCAGGAGACTGACAGGGGATAGCTGTCTCTTGGTGCAAGTGCGGACGGGCTGCTCTTGAAAACAGGACGCTGGCCTAGAGTGACCTTTGATTGCTTTGGCTGAACTGATGAAGCTACCCCCATGCCATTAGTCTACCTAGCTGAGTCCTGCTGCATCTAGTTTGGTGTCGTGGTTAAGTGCGTGGACTCTAATCTGGGAGAACCGGGTTTGAAACCCCACTCCTCCACTTGCACCTGCTGGATGACCTTGGGCAAGCCATAGTTCTGGCACAGCTATTCTTGAAAAAAGTGAAGGGCGGGGTATAAATCCAATCTCCTCCTCCTTCTTCAAATGGCTGCAGCTCTCCAGGGTCTTTCCCAATACTAACGACCTCAGGTGCCGGGAGATCAAAGATGGGACTGCCCAGAGGTGAAACATGTGACCTGCCACACACCTAAGACCCTATGTGGGAATTCTCCCCTCCCCTCCCCACTCCATCAGCTACCTGGACTTCAGCAGTTTCCTCTTCTCGCACTTCACCAACCGGAAGATAACCGGGATTTCCATGCAGCGGCGTAAATTCTTACGGGTCCAACGATTTTTCGGCATATCTGGATCCAACATTCCACCCTCCATCAGGACCTTTTTAATGATCTCTCCGTTGGAAGGCAAGGGTTTCCCTGTTCATCAAAAAAGATTCACATTCAAGCCACTTGGTGAGCCCACTGTCTGCCCCAACACCCTCGCAGCCACCATGTAAATAAACCGAAAGTTCCTTCACGACCGAATCATACTGCAAGCAGTCAAGCCACCCAACAAGTACATTTATATCCAGTCCCTTGCTCTGAGCAGCTGAGAACAGCATGCACATTTCTCCCAAGGGAGCTGAGGCTGAAAGAGGGTTGACGGGTCACAGGTCACCCACTGAGTTTCACAGGATCCAGAGGAGATCTCATACCACCTCTTCTCACAGCCTTTGCCTCTCACAAGCTCATCTACAGACAACCAATCCCATTCATCATCATGTTCTCCCATTATTGTCTCTGTTTCTCCCACTGCTCTGCTTCCTAAACACATGGTACTATGTTATTTCTTCAAAGCAACATTTACTGTCACACTTTAGACAGGAAGCATGTGTCATTCTGTAGGGTGGTTAAAGATGAAAACCTGGGAGTGATGTTGATTTATTTATTGGATCACACAAATCATGAGTTTCGATGGCAGCCAAGGATACAAAAACTGGCCGCCATAAAAATCCATAACCCAAAGGTTATGGCAGTTATAGTCGTCATTGGTGGGAGTGTAAATATGTCAAAAACTTTCGGATCCAGGTTCTTCATCAAATAAAAGAAACCGCAGGCTATATTGTTCCATATCAGCCAGAATTAATTTTATCAGATTGTTGGCAAGGCATAAAAATCCCAGAACTGAGAAAAGATCTAATAATTCCTTTATTGACAGCTGCCAAGTCAATTATTGCATGTTATTGGAAAGATAAAAATCCGTTCAAGATAAGCCAACGGTATGCAAAGTGTGGGAATACCATGCTACGGATAAAACTGCAGAAAGTGTTACAGATAGTGATGATTTGTCTTCTCAATCAGATGTGATAATCAAATGGTTTCCTTTTCTAGAATTCTGTCTTCAAGATACCTCTGTATCATGAATAATCTTGCTTAGACAAATTTAGGAATAACCTATGCATGTTTTGGTTGATTACAAAGGGATAATGCTCTTTCGTTTAATTCAAGTCGATAAACAAAGTTATACTATTTCTAATGATGTGCATACATCATATGTTTTTCTAATAGCTGTATTACAGTTCTAAGAAAATTAAAAAATTAAATTAGATAAATCATAACCCACAGGTTCTAAGCAAACAAATTTAAACCACCCCCATGGAATTACATTTGCTGACAGACTATTTCCAACAACAAAGACACAGAAGTAGTTCACAGATGAAAATGATATTTTTTTAAAGAAGGAAAAACAACTATTGCAATCGTGGACATGCCAAGACACAGCAGCTCAGCAGAACTGACAAACCAACCACAGGTCACAGAACCAAAAAGAAGAAGCAAAAAACCAAGAACCAGAGCTGCTTCCTCACAGGCCTGACAGGAAACAGCGGCCTTAACCTACGGCTTTGGTTCTGTGGTCGAGCTCTTCCTTCATCCGCAGCCAGCCAACAGGGTTCGGTACCTGACACCTTCCCTTAAAAGACCTCCAGCAGGAGGTGGTGGGAGAGGCGCTTCTCTGCCAGACACCCTGGAGAGCCACTGGCAGTCTGAATACACAGGACTGAACTGGAGTGCGAGCCTCACTAGGGAGGGAGATCCAAAGCCTTCCGGCCACCACGGAGAAGGCCCCACAGTACATCAGGCACCGACTGCCTGGGCAGGTTCACACGGAAAGAGGTGATCCTTGAGATGTCCTGGCTCCGGAACACCAAGGCAGGGCTGACTCCATGTTTCGGAGGGCCCTTGGAAGGCAGAATCACAGAACCATAGAGCTGGAAGGGGCCACACAGACCATCTGGCCCAGCCCCCTGCCCAATGCAGGACCAGCCTAAAGCACCTCTCAGAAATATTCGTCCAGCCTCTTCTTGAAAGTTGTCAGAGAAGGGGAGCTCACCACCTCTCTAGGCAGCTGATTCCACCTTTGAGTCACTCTGACCATGAAAAAGTTTTTCCTAATATCCAGCCGATACCTTCCTCCCACCACCAGCCCCTCCCCCCCGACATTTTCTTTCCCGCCCAGAGCACCTGCGTGCTCCCCACTTGGACTGGGAGTCCTTCTATTGCTTGCGAGCCCTCCCACTGCCCGTGCTCAGTTGCCTGCACTCACAGAATCATAGAAAGTTAGAATTGGAAGGGACCTTACGGGTCATCTAGTCCAACCCCACTGCACGCTACAGGAGCATAGCCAAAAGATAGCCTTACATACTGACATACCTACAACATACCCAAAAGATGGTCATCCAGCCTCCACTTGAAAACATCCAGCAAAGGAGCATCCACCACCTCCCAAGGCAGTCTGTTCCACTGCTCAACCACTCTCACAGTTAGGAAGTTTCTCCTGATATTTAGCCGGTAACGACTCCCTTGTAATTTCCACCCATTAGATCTAGTCTTGCAATCCAGAGTAAGAGAGAATAGATCCACTCCATCATCTACATGACAGCCCTTCAAATACTTGAAGACTGCAATCATGTCCCCTCTAAACCTTCTCTTTCCCAGGCTAAACATACCCAACTCTTTCAGCCTTTCCTCATGAGACTTGGATTCTAACCCTCTCACCATCCTGGTTGCCCTCTTCTGGACACGCTCGCGCGTGTCAACATCTATATATCTAATAGTGAAAGTGCCCCCTGGTGTGCGGATACCTAAATCCGCATATCGGGGGCACCTGGGGGGGAGGGAGATTTTTGTGCACACTTGGGGCAGTCCCCAGGTGTGCACAAAAACCTGAAAAGTTAAAAAAAATATATCAGGGGGATACTTAAATCCCCCCAAAAGTGACAGAGCGTCCCCTGCGCATGCACAGGGAACGCTCTGCAGCCGTCCTCGCCGCTGTCGGGCGGGGGGAGATCGAGCGCGGGGTGGTGGTGGAGGAGACGGAGGAACCGGCGGGATGGGGGGGAGAGCTTACCTGCTCCTGCTGATTCCTCCTCCACCTGCTGAATTTGGAGTTCCCCCGCCGCCGCCCCCCACGAGTTTTGCGGGTCTTCTTTCTTGTCCTTCCTAAAATGTGGTGTCCAAAACTAGACAGTCGTCCAGGTGAGACCTGACCATAGAGCGGAACTATCACCTCTCGTTATCTGGACATCGCACTGCAGGCTCATGTTTAGCTTGTGATCAACAGAACACCTAGATCCCTTTCACATGAGCTGCTGTCAAGCCAAGTCCCTCCCATTCTATATCTGTGCCTTTGGGTTTTTTGTATCTAGGTGTAGGACTTTGCAAATTTTATTTGTCTCAGCCCACTGTTCCAGCCTATCTAGATCATTTTGAATCCTTACTCTGTCTTCTTCAGAATTAGCAATTCCACCTAACTTTGTGTCATCTGCAAATTTGATAAGCATCCCCCCTATGTCTTCCTCCAGGTCATTTATAAAAACATTGAACAACACCAGGCCTAAGACCGAGCCCTGCAGCACTCTACTCGAGACTTCCCTCCACGTAGACATAGAGCCATTTACGAGAACTTGTTGGGAATGATTGTTCAACCAACCATGAATCCATTCAATGGTTGCACCATCCAGCCTACACTTAACCAGCTTATCCTCAAGGATATCATGAGAAACTTTGTCAAATGCTTTACTGAAATCTAGATACACTGTATCCACAGCATTGCCAGAGTCAACTATTTTAGTAACTCTGTCAAAAAAGGAGACAAGATTGGTCTGGCATGACTTATTCTTGATAAACCCATGCTGGCTACTACTAATTAACTCATTCTGTTCAAGGTGCTCACAGACAGAGCATTTAATAATCTGCTCTAGAATTTTCCCAGGTATTGATGTCAAACTGACAGCCCTGTAATTTCCCAGGTCCGTCTTTTTTTCCTTCTTGAAGATCGGGACAACATTCGCTCTTCTCCAGTCTTCCGGCACAACACCAGTACTCCAAGACATCTCAAAGACTACAGCCAGAGGCTCTAAAATAACATCTACAATTTCTTTTAGGACCCTGGGATGCAAGCCATCCGGCCCTGG